CAAGTGGGGCTAATGTGATATATTTGGTACCTATCTCGATATCCTGCTCAAATTAGTACGGACGTCCCCACATGTTAGGGCTTGATTAGTACCTGAAGTATAAGCTCAGCGCTACGTCCGAGGCCATGTTACGTAGCTCTTCATTTTCGAGCCTGATGAAGCTTAATCCCTGCCTCTGCGAGACCCAGTCCCACATGGATCGGGAAGCTCGGCGGTACGCAAATGCAAAAGTACTGAGTGGAAATAAAAGGAATAGAAATACAAACTACGGAGATGCCCAGGCCTAAGCTTGCTTTGTCCCGCCGGTGTCACCGATATTACCCTCTCCCTCGCGTCGAATTCGTCTATCATGCCGCTCCTGCGAGGAGAATTGTTCAACAGCCCCTCGACCCTCTTGGGCACAGCCTCCGGGGTGGTCCTCATCCTCCTGGTCGCCTATGTCTTGTACCAGCAATTCCTTCACCCGCTGGCGGGCTATCCAGGCCCGTTACTGGCATCTCTTACAGACCTCTGGCAGGTTCAGCAGTACCTCACCTTGCAACAGCCATACACCCTGACCCAACTCCACGAGAAGTATGGCGAGTTCGTGCGTTATGGGCCCGACAAGCTCAGCATTACGGCGAAGGAGGCCGTACCCATCATCTACCAAAAGGGTGGCCGGCGATTCCCCAAAACGGAGTTTTACGATGCTTTCGGTGGCAAAACGCCCAATGTCTTCGGAATGAGATCTGACGACGTGAGTCCTGCCACTGTGGTGCGGCCATGGAAGTCATTGTGATGTCGCTTTTGCTGACAGCCGGGGCGTTCGAAGCGCCATGCCGTCCGTCGCCGTCACATGTCGCACGGCTTCTCTATCAGCAGCGTCAAGGAAATGGAGCACTATCTCGACGCCAACGTCAAGCTTCTGCGGCATAAGATCGCCGGCTTCGCGCGAGACCGGCGCCCCTTTGACCTCAAAAAGCTCTTCCACTACTACACCATCGACGTCCTCGGCGAGCTCGCCTTCAGCCACTCCTTTGGCGTGCAGGTCTCGGGTAACGAGTCGCTGGTGCCGCGCGTTGTGCCGCACACGCTACTCGGCTCCGTCACGGGCGCCTGGCCGTTTATGACCCAAAGGTTGAAGCGGTGGCTTCCCCTCGTGCCGCATGCCGGACTGCAGGATCTCTTCCGCAGCCGCGCTGAGGTCACGCGGCTGGCGTCCGAGTGCGTCGAGCGCCGCCTGGGACAGGTCAAAGAGCAGGGCGCGGGGCACAGGCCGGACATCTTGACGAGACTAATCCAAGCGGAGCATCCCGATACGGGCGAGCACTTGCCGAGGATTGACCTCGAGGCCGAGGCGTTTGGGTTCCTGTGAGTCCCATGCCTCCCAAACTCTCAAATAAGATACTAGGCCAGGAGTATCTGACACGATGGGACTCATCCCCTACCCTCAGCATTGCAGGCACGCATACCACCAGCGCCACGACCGCTCTGCTCTTTTGCAACCTCCTGCGCAACCCAGAGGCCCTAGCAGCGTGTACGCGCGAGGTCAGCGACAGTCTCCCGCTCTTAGACGACGACAGGCCCGCGTACAGCGTCACACAGGTCGAGACTCACCTCCCGTACCTCCGCGCTTGTGTGCGTGAAAACTTTCGCCTAACGCCCGTCTTCAGCATGCCGCTGGAGCGCCGCGTCACGGAGCCCGAGGGCGTGTTCATCAGCGGCCGCCACATCCAGCAGGGGGTATGTATGCCCCTTTTCACCTTCATGTCAAGGCTGTTGAGGACGGGAACAGTTTTCATTAACATCAATGACACCAGATGGTCGTCGCTGTCTGCAACCACGCTTTCCACCACAATCCGCGCGTCTGGGGCGATGACCATGACGTCTTTGACCCTTCGCGCTGGGATGACGACGCCACGGCCACCCGTGCTCGCTACCTGATGCACTTCGGCCTCGGCTCCCGGCAGTGCATCGGCAAGGCGCTGGCGCTGAGCAACGTTTACAAGCTCGCCGCCACGTTGCTGCGCGAGTTTGAGTTTGAAATCGCGAACGCAGAGGAGCGGCAGGCGGCGGCCCGCGGTGGGTTCCGCGGGAAGCTGCCTGAGATGATCAGTGTTGGAGTCAGTGATCTCAAGGGGCCGCTGATGGTGACAGCCAAGGTGAGAAATGCATCTTGAAATGCACCCTGATTCAGCTTGATTCAGGCCTTTGGATGATTTGTTTGATGTGATGTCATACTCTCAGGGATGCCATTCAGTCTGGTTCGGAATCATGGGGGAAGCAGCTTGTTTGCATAATGTTCCAGATCAACATCTAGTTCATACTTGCGATGAACATCATGAATGACATGGGACGGTCAATCAGATCTATCCCATTTGCAAGATATGAATGAAAACCTGACCATCCAGGCTGCCGGACGTAACAAGAACAAAGACCTCAAGAGTAAAGAGTATCGCCATCTCAACAGTAAGAAATACGCATTCCTCAACACCCAAAATGGCCATGTTATCGTGACTCTTAGCACATCTCAAGATGTGATGGATGGTTGCACCCCAGACTGTAATAGGTCGCCCAACCAAGCAACACCAAGTCTTCCCTCAGAAAACCTTCGCCGCTCCTTCCTCAGTACTTTTGCAACATAACTTCGAATCACAGCATGCGCTCCTTCCAATACAATTATCACGGGTTATACGTGGCTAGAGCTCTTGGCCGAGCCTACGCCTCGGTAGCTACCTAGTTACCAATGGGCTTGTACTCATACGTCAAGGCAGTATTTCCTTCGTTTCAAATGAGAACGTAGGTATTGATCAGATTCTCGCTTTGTCCCGCTCTTACCCAGTGCTGGAGTATACAAGGCCCTGTCCTACAGAGAGTCTCGATGACTAGTCCGTCACATACAACCCCAGAATCAGTGAATGAAGCTGCCTGCGACTCCGTTCCTGCCCTGGCCCCGACGTCCGAGTCACATCCAGCCCTCTGCTCCTCGAAATCTATAGTTTCCCTTTTTCTCTCCCTCAACTTTATCCGCCACGTTATATCGCCCGCTTCGCAGCAACAGAGATATCGTCTCCGACAAAGTTTCGCTCCCCACCACGTTTCCGCATCGCCATCGTCGCCATCGCCTTGAATACTTGTTTCCCTTTTTCGATACGCAGCTCTACTTTCATCATCCGGCTCCCTCGACATTTGTGCATAACCCACAATGTCTTCCCACGACCTCCTTCCCACCTATGCCGCCGTGGCCTCGGCGCCCTCGGCGTCCGCGTCCGAGCTCGCCATCGCCGCGTCGGCCCTCAACCTCCACACCGCCTGCGTCCAGCCCACCATCGAGGTCATCTCCATGGTGTCGGTCGCCGAGAAGCTGATCAAGGGCATCATGGCCAAGATGCAGAATGTCATCCAGACCACTTTTGGCAACGAGGATGTGTCGGTACGTTTGAATTCTATTGTTCCTTCATCTCTACTCCTTACTTCCTTGAGCATTGTCGTCATCCTTTTCACCTCCATCCCGTCATGGTCGTCCTCTTTCCACCTCTTGTTCATAAACTGACCATCCCAGGTTCTGGCTCATTTTGAGACGGCCGTCACATCCCTTGGCGCCCCCAACGACTTCCTCGCCCTCGAAGAGACGGCAGCTGCGCTACAGGCAAAGCAGCAGCTCATGTACGAGGGGCTGTACGCCAACGACAAGGCTTTGGCCGTCACCGTCGGCAGCCACCTCTCATCCGACCAGATCGAGGCTCTCCGCGACACCCAGCTGGTCGCTGACCTCTCCTCTCTCTCCATCGACGCCCCTGACGTCGTCGCGCCCTCCTCTCCTCCGCCCGCCTCTCCCTTGGCCTTGCTCTCTCTCGGCAGCTCTCCTCCGTCCTCGCCTCGCGCCCGCTGCCACCTCGACTCGACCGACGACGTCGTCTCTCGCTTGGGAACGTTACCCGCACCCTCTGCCAACGTCGCCTCCATCGTCTTTCCTCCTCCTTCTGCTCCATGCTTGGGAACGTTACCCATCGCTGCCGACCCTCATCCTTCTTCATGCTTGGGAACGTTACCCGTCGCCTGTCCGGCCTCCCCCGTCGCCGCCCCCGTCTCTGTCCCCGGCAACACTGAGACCGCTTTCTTGGGAATGTTACCCACACCTGCCCTCCCTTCCCTTATAATTGAAACCCTCGGGATGCTGCCCGACGACCTCCCTTCCCTGCCATCCGACTCCGTGCCGGCCTCGCCAGTCGGTCAGATGGAGGTGATTTTACCTGCGGGTCCCGTCGCCGATCCTGCCGAAGCTGTGGATGCGGCCTAGGAAGCCCAGAAGCAGCGGGAGCAGGAAGTGTACGAGGCGCAGCAAAGACTGCAGCAGCAAGAACAGGAGGAGCAGCAGCAGCTACTGAACAAGCAGCATATGCAGCACTGGTTCGAGGAGCAGACGGCGCGTCAGGCGCAGAAACTCCTCGACCAACAGCAACAGCAGCGAGAGCAGCAGTTGCAGGAGCAGCAGCAGTTGCAGGACTTGCAGCAGCAGCAAAAGCAGCAGGAGGAGGAAGAACAGGCTGCGCTCCTGGAAGCTGCCATTCTGGAGGCCTTCGAGCAGGACGCCCAAGAGGAGGCTGATCGCTGGGAGGCTGACAGACAGCAGGGGGGGCAACAGCAGCAACAACAACAGAGACCTGCAAATTCGGATATCTTCTCGTTTGTCATGCCGGCTCCCAACAGGGGGCCCATTTCATTCCCCGAGTCTGCCGCCGCCGTACACGGGCTCTCTGGGACCATAGAGCCGCGAGCGACCTATAAATTTGACTTCGCCGAGGCCGTGTCTGGTGCCCCTCCTTTCTTTGGAAGTGAGCAGGCCGGGCCGGCGTCTGGCGAAGCACTCCCTCCTCCCCCCCTCTCCTTCCCTCTTGCCGCCTCTCCCGTCCCCTCAATCCTATTGGGGTCCGGTGGGGTCTTTGACTTCATCATGACCGTACCTGGGGGCCCCTCCCTTCTTCGGAAGCGAGCAGGTCTGG